GACACGTAGGGGTCTTGTTTTCCTTTCCATTCATCCATTCTTTTAGTTGGAACACTTAATTCTTTTCCGTTTGAGGTACTTATTGATAGGAATGTAGTTGTTACCATTCTTTATTTCTGTTTTTCATACATGTTTTTTCTTCTTAAAGAAGTTCTTTCAACATTTCCTGTAATATGGGCTTGGTGGTGATAAATTCCTTCAGCTTATTTTTGTCTGGGAAGCTCTTTATCTGTCCTTCAACTCTAAATGATAGCTTTGCTGGATAAATTATTCTTAGTCGTAGATCCTGAGTCTCCATCCTGTTGAGTATTTTTTTTGCCACGCCCTTCTGTCCTACATAGTTTCTTTTGAGAAATCAGCTGCCAGTCTTATGGGGTTTCCCTTATAAGTAACTATCTGTTTTTCTCTTGCTGCTTTTAATATTCTTTTTTTTTTTTTTTTTGGTATTTAACCTTTGGCATTTTAATTACGATGTGTCTTGGATCCCTGATTTTTGGAATTCTCTGAGCTTCCTGGGGTCTTATGTCCATTTCTTTCACCAGGGAAGTTTTCCATCATTATTTCTTCAAACAGCTGTTCAACATCTTGATTTTCTTCAGTTACGCCAATCAGACGGATATTTGGACCCTTAATAGTGTCCCATATGCTCCTTAAATTATTTTTATTGTCTTGGCATCTTATCTCTTGGCATTCTTATTGAGTGTCCTTGGCTTTCCCATCTTCCACATAGGGCATTTGATTCTTTTCTTTATTCACTGTTTATTTCTTTGTTTATTCCATTTAATATACTTCTCATCTCAGATCATGTGTTCATTTCAGATTGGTTCCCTTTCATAATTTCCATTTCCATCTTTATGTTTTTTATCTCTTTGTTGAAGTTCTCACTGAATTTATCTACACTTCTCAAAAGTTCATTGAGCATCTTTATAACAAGTGATTTTTTTTTTGATTTATAAGTGATTAGATTTCTAAACAAATTAATCTTCTATAAGTTCTATACATACAAGGCTCTCATTCTTCATTTAGCTTTGATTTACTTCTTGGAAGTTTTCATCTTTCTGACCATCTACTTTTAAACCTCTTGGCATTTTGTTTTTTCTGGATTCCCCAACCATTATTTAAAAACTGGGCTACAGCCTTTTTCACTGGTAACCTCTTGTTGTCAAGAGACAGGAACTTATTTATAGTAGTTCTGTTGGTTCCCGGACCGTATAAATAATTTTGTATGAAGGCTTTGGCTGCTTGTTGCCTTGAATCTCTCACATTTTGATCTTTTAGCCTTAGAGCCAATTAGCTTTTATTCTGACTGATAGACTGTACTTTTTGTACTTTTTCCTTAGCTTTCTTGGAGTTACTTCCTTTATCACATTCTTCATTTTTCTTCTGCAAATTAACTTCTTTTAATTTTCCTGGTGATTTCTTTATGCTATTAGCCTGTGAAGCTGTAGTTAACTTCTCTAGAATAGTGTCTGGAAGGAGTTTCCTTTCTTTTTGTTGGATGAACAGCTCCTCGCATCGCTTCCTCTGCTCCTTCAGAAGTGTTTTATCCCTGCGCTCCGTCTCCCGAACTCACCGCTCCTCTTCTCTCGCTTCCGCCTGGGCACTGGGGAAAGTCAGTTCCTCCGGGGCCTCCTTGTCAAAGTCATCATCCTCTTCTTCGTCTTCCTCCAGCAGCTCAGTGGCAGTGCCACTGCTGGGCTGCCTAAGCAACAGGCTGTGCTCCGCCGCCTCCTCCTCCGAGGTGGGCTGTCCCTCATCCACCATCGCTGATGCGGGGGTGCGGGATGAGCGTGGCCGGAGCTGCACCATGGCCCACGCCCCACCGGACCGTGCTCTATAGCCAGTGTTTTGAACTCTGCATGTGTTAGATTACTTGACTCCATTATATCTGGATCTCTGTTCTGTTCTCTCACATGGTTTCTGTTTCTTTGTCTTTCCATTTTGGCTGCCTTTCTGTGTCTGTTTCTATGAACTAAGCAAAGCTCCTAAGTCTCTCGGTCTTAGTAGTGTGGATTTGTGAAGTAGGTGTCCAGTGGCACAGTCCTGAGAGGGGTTCAGCTGCAGGCCAAATTTAGCCCAAGCCTCTGCCCTTCTGGGGCCACCTGTTCAGATTCAGCAAGCAATCTACAGATGCTGTGCTTATAGTTGCCTCAAAAGGCAACACCAGAAACCGAGGCCAGCCACCTTCAGTGTGTCTAGGTGCTGCTCAGCAAGAAGCACCTGACTCGCTGAGGATAGAACTGGATATGGCTTCCGTTGGGCGGCAAGTTGGGGGACGCGGGGTTTCAGGAAATCCATTGAGCGGAGCAACTTCTGTTATCCAGTTTGATGACATCACAGCTATGGCAGTGCTGTGCCCGCACGCTGTGAGGGGGATGGGTTCAACAAGGAACAATGGATATCGCCAGCACTTCTGTACTGAGGAAGTCTCACTTAGGCCCTCACTCTGACAATGTCTCTCTGTAAGTCCTTGGTGCCTGCTGCGTGCAGCCGAATTGGCACTGGTGCTCAGGGCAAGCAGATCCATCACCGCGAAAATCCGCTTGTGGATGCGGCACCTTTAAGAGGCTTCTGCTGCTGCTGCTGCTGACGCCACGCCTCCGTCTCACTCAGCCGCTAGAGAGTTGCCCCGTGTCCTTGCCCCGTCCTACCTTCTGCTGTTGCAGGGCGCTTTCTTGGAGTTCTCCATAGATGTATGGCTTGTTCATCAAGATCCCAGGCGATTTTTCCTTGCTGCTGCTCCTTGTTTCTGTCACAACTTTGATTTGGTCGCCAGAGGGATGAACAGAGCCTCTATCATCTATGCCATTTGGGTTGCCCTTGGGGTTTTATGATTCTTTATTTGGAGTCTGAACAGTTGTTATTTTAAACTCCTTAAGATCTTATTAATAGTGGTTACAGGAAATTCAACCATCATGTCTACCATACAGGGAAAGTGCAGAGTACGCTTAGAGCACAAAGGAAGCACACTCAAACTTTTGTGTTAAAACTAAGAGGAAAAGTGAAGTAGTAGGAACTTCTAAGCAGATCGCCCAAAAGGATTTCCAACTTTTAAAAAAACATTTATAAAGACATATTTACATACAAAGACACACATATTAAATATATATAATATAGTTTATAAACTAGAAAAGTATAAAGTCCTTTGATTGTCCAGAAAGAGTACAAAGGATTAATTTCAGACTTTGATAAGCATGTATATTGTAAATTCTACAGAATCTGTTCCCCTCAAAACAAAACAAAACAAAAAAAAAGTAGAAGATATAGGTCAAACTAGGAGAGGAGGAATAGATAAAAAGAGTTTTAAAGAAAATATGAAGCAAGACTAAAACAAAGGAAAAAAGAATATAAATCCAATGGGATCAAAATAGATGGTAGATATAAATCCAAATATGTCAGTAATTATACTGAGTTTAAATGGAATAAGTGCTTCAGTTTAAAGACAAAGATTGTCAGACTAGGTTAAAAAAATAATTAAAAGAGCTATAGTTTACATGATTTAGAAGTTAAAAGGATAACAAAGGTGCCATGCAAAGGAAGCCTGTGCTACTGGCTTTACTTATTTGTATGATTTAATTTTTATTTTTTAAAATTAGCATACAAAATAAACGAAAACAAGAAACAAATAAAAAAGCATAGAGCTTTATTAAAAAGCATTACTATATCTATAGAGGGTCAATTCTAAATAAATAAATGGTTTAATTCATTGAGAAGACAAGTTCACAATTGTATGCAACCTAAGAATACAGCCCTAAAATAACATAAAGCAAACTTAATAGAACCCAAGGAGAAACACACAAATCTACAATCACAGTGGATTTTAACTTACTTCTTCAGTAATTCATTGGAAAAGCAGAAAGGATATAGAAAATTTGAACACAATTACCTGAGTTGATTACATAGATATATATAGAAGTCTGTACCCAACAACTGTACACACCATATTCTTTTTAAGCACACATGGAATATTTAAGCACACGTGGAGTATTATGGACCACCATGCAAGACTCGACAAATTTCAAAATACTGAAACCATACAAAGTATGTTTTATAACAATACAATTAAGCTAAAAATCAATTTAAAATATTCATAAAACTATTACCACCCAGCAACTCTACTCCTAGATATATACCCAAGACAATCGAAATATATGAATAATGTTCACGAAAATCTGTACAATAATGTTCACAGCAGCCTTTTTCATGATAGCCTTTGTTCAAACACAAATGTCCATCACCTAATGAACAGACAAACAAAATGTGTTTTACATATACAATGAAATATTATTCAGCTATAAACAGGAATGGAGCACTAATACAGGCTACAACATGGATGAATCTTGAAAACATTAAGATGCCAAACGCAAAAGGCCACATATTATACGATTCTATTAAATGAACAGAATAAACACATCTATTCATACAAATAATAGATTAGTGTTTCCCAGGGGCTCAGGGAGGGAAAAAAGGTTTCTTTCTGGAGTGATGTTCATGTTTTGGAATTAGATAGTGGCAATGGTTGCACAACACTGTGAACACACTAAAAACCGTTGAAGGGTACACGTTAAAGGATAAATTTTATGTATATAAATTATCTCAATAAAAGTTTTTAAGTAAAAGCAATTCAGAAATGCAATTCTAAACAATCCATGGGTCAAAAAGCAAGTCATAAAGAATTAGAAAAATATTTAAGTCAGATAACAAAAATATAACACGAAAATTTGTGGCATGAAGTGGTAGAGGGAAATTTTTTATTTTAAATGCTTATATGTAGTACACGTAATTGACACAGGACTAGTATTCTCAAAATATGTATTTACAGGAAATAGAAGCTAGAGGTAACATGTGAAACTGTACCATAGTGATGCAAATTCAGATTAAAGAAAATGATAGGGTAAACTAGCTGGATTCATTTACCAATAAACTGCAAGGGGAAAACATCGGAGACGAGGAGAATAAAGGGGGAATTTACAGACCAAAAGCAACTTAAAAGACATCAATCGATTGCTAGTGGGGACTTTATTTGGATTCTGATTCAAATGTACTGTAAAAAGAAAAAAATCTAAACAGCGAATGGATATCAATGAAGAACAGTAGGACTAGGATAATCTTTTCAGTAATCAGTACTAAATTAGATAGTCATATGGGGGGAAAAAAATAAAACTTGACCTTTCAGATTATACACAAAAACCATTTTCAGGTAAATTGTAAATCTGTGAAAGCCAAAACTATAAAACTTTTAGAATATAGAAGAAAATTTTCATAATCTTGAAGTAGGGGATGAGTACTTAAAAAAGAAGGAAAACATGTTAGCCAGAGGAAAGATCTTAATTGGACTACATCAAAATCACAAACTTCCACGAAGTGTGAAACGATAACAGAATGGGAGAGTATGCATGCAACACATGTAACTGACAATTAGCATGCTGAACATGTGAAGAACTGAAATCATTAAGAAAAAGAAAAAACAATAGAAAAATGAGCAAAAGACTGGAACAGACATAAGACACTCAACCTCATTTAAACTTAGGAACAAGCAAATTAATAACATACAGATATTACACATCAACTTGGCAAAAAATGAGACTGATAACATCAAATATAGGTGAAAATTTGGAATATTAGCAACAAATTTTTCATTCTGCCATGAAAATTCTTATACTTTAGTAGGTCACTCAAACTGTTTTTTCCAGTAATTGCTTACTCTTTACCAGGGCAGTATAAATTGGTACGATCACTTTAGAAACCAATTTGCTATTTTTCTACGAAAGTTTAAGATACGCATAACCTAAAACCCAGCAAGGACACTCCTAGGTGTAGTACCCTCCTCTCTATGGCCTAGAGAGCCTCATGGACATGTACAAGAATGTTCTTAGCAGAACTGTTAATGACAGTATTGAACTGTAAACAACCCAAATATCCATTAGCAGGAGAATGAATAAATATTTGCGGTATGTTCATAAATAGCATCCTATATAGCAATTAAAATCAATGAATTAGATACATGCAATATCATGAATATAAAGAAACTTGCACAAAAATACATGACAGCATAATTTCATTCATATAAAGGACAAAAACAGGCAAAACTAAACTATATCATTTAAAGATGCGTAAATAGCTAAGACAACTAAAGAAAACCAAAGAAAGGATTATTACAAAAATAAATTTTGTGATTATTTCTGGGGGAAAAGAATAGGTTATGGTTAGGAAGGGATACATATACAGGAAGGCTTCTGATGGTTTGGAAATGATCTTTCTTCAAGCGAGTTGTGGTTAAACAGAAGCTAATTTTACAATTGCTTGTTAAACTGCAGATATTTTATATATTTATATTTATCTCAACTATCACATATGCTGTACACACAGCATAGGCTGATCTTTCCATCAAAATTTTAGCTGTTATAAATTCCTCTCCCCGCATCTCTATACTTGCATTTTCATTGATAAGTAGATACTACTTTAATATTGGGAGCAAATACCTTCTCCCAATAGCATAATGAACACTACAAAAAAATTATGGCAGCTTACATTTATCTAATGCCTTTTTGTGTAACACAATATACTTCATTTGCACTAACACATTTAAGATTAAAAATTACTCTAAAAGGTTATCATCAGCCTCTTTATAGAGGCAATTACTAATGTTCACATAATCACAAATGTCAGAGCTCGTCTATCCAAATCTGAATTGAACTTTTCTCACTAGTCTATACAAATTCCAATAGCCTATAAAGTTTACTATCCATCTAATCATCTTTACACTGTTGTATGGCATTTTCCTCATCTGATATTTAATTAATACATTCATTCATTTATTCAACATATGTTTAATATCTACTGTATTCTAGGTACTATTCTATATCCAGGATATACAAGGGCGAAAAGGAATGACAAAGTCTAAATTTACATTGTGGTGGGGGAGACAGACAATAAAATATCAGATAGTGACCAATCCTATGAAGAAAACAGAATAATGTGATAGTGATTGAGGGAAGTAGAAATATTCGGGCAGAGTTGAATGCTAAATCAGCCATGCAAACTATTAAAAGGGGTTCCTGGCAGAGAAAGCTGTAAGTGTCAAAGCCTGGAAGGGGATGAGCCTCAGCTTACTCAATAAACAGAAAGGCTACTCTGCCTGCAGTGCAGAGAGCAAAGAGGACATAGGGTTGAGTCAGGCTGGGCCAGGTCAGTCAGAACAAAGAACTTAGATTCCATACTTGATTCAATGGGAAGCCATGGGAGGTTTTCAAGTAAGGGAGTGTCACAGTACAATTTACCTTTAAAAAAAAAACTTAAGATCTATGTAAAGAAAAGACTGTTTGAGGAAGAAAGGGATGGGAAATGGCAAGAGTAGAAGCGAGAGACATTCATTTTTATAAAGAAATCCAGGGAGGAGATGAAGGAGGCTGAACTACAGTGGTAGTAATAAAAATGGAGAGAAGTATTGAGCTTCCGGATATATTCTGAGGGTAGTTAAGATCAAATGAGTGTCTATTTCTTCATTAAACAACTGTTTATTGTGTGCTCTAATATATCAGACACTGTTCTGGGTACTGGGAATACAGAACTAAACAGGACAGAACAGAACAGGACAAGGTCTCTGATCTTAAGGAGCTTATATATTACAGATTCCCGTGGGGGGAAAACAGACATTTAATAGATAAATAAAAATAACCTATAATGTCAGATAATAAGTGTTACAAAAAATAAAAGTGACAGAGGTGAGGTAATAGTTCAGGTAAGTCAAGGAAAAATAGCATAAAGGGGTAATATTTAAGCAAAGACTTAGAGTAAGCACAAACCACACAAATATTTGGGAGTAAAGTACTCTGGGTAAAGGAAACAGCAAATGGAAAGAACTTAAGCTGAGCATGTGCTTATGTGTGAGCAGAACAGCAGAGCCAATGTGGCTAAAGCAGGATGAACAAGTAGAATAGCAGATGAGGCTGAAGTGGCTGAAGGACAGATCTCATAAAGCCATGTAGGTCTTAGAGAAATTTTTGAATTTTGTTTGAAGTGTGATGAAAAGCCATGCGAGTTGAGAGCAGGGGAAGGATACGCAATTCACATTTTAGAAGGATCGTTCTGCTTTTCTGAACTGTTGAGGAATAGTAATATGAAAAGATAAGAGGGCCTTTAACTAGAGTGGTACTAGTAGGCGTGTGAAGTGGGATATTATTTGTTGAATTGAATAGGATTTGCTGTAATTAATGTAGAATATGAAAATATGTCAAGGATGATTTTTAGAGTTCTTGCTTAAGCAACTGAAAAGCTAAATGTAACATTTACTGAGATGGGGGAAACTAGAAAGGAACAAGGTGGAGGAAAGAGACCAAAAATTGTTTTAGGTCATAAGATGACCACTAGTAAAGCAGAAATGTTAGGTAGGCTGTAGCTATAAAAGTCTGGAGCTCAGGGAGAGGTCAAATCCAGAGATTACTTTGTTTTTGAGAGTTACTGATGCTGGCTGATGATTCTCAAGAACAAACTTTCTTCATATTTGAATTTTACTGGCTCAATTCTTAGGAGCCACCTATTGTTTAAAATTTATTCCTCCTATGGGTATAGTGCAGTAGCACAATTTACCAACATGTACAAACTCTAACCATAAAATTTCATATGTCCTTGGCTTCAAACTAAGATAATCGATGGATTTTTATAAATTACCAAGGAAAAGGAATACACCGTCTCAATCTAATATGTTCAAAAGTTAATATAAATTTTATTAGAAGAGCAAAGTCTTGGTAAATCTAACAGATAAAAGAACCAGGAATCAGATTTATTTCTATTACTGTTTTATTTTTTTCCCTCCTCTTTTATTCATTACCACCTAGAAGCCTAGTCACCAATAAGTTCACAGAGTTAGCTATTCATTTTCAAAACAATTTATTTCTGTAATAAAGAACTAAAATGATTATGAAAGAAAATATAGAAAAATATTTAAAATGTGCAACAATAATTTTAAAGATAGTTAAGCACGAGTTTATGCTCAACTTTTACTTGAAAGACAAACCAGCCCATATTTTGTATTTATATTTTATTAACTACATCAGAAAAAACCATACCTACTTGCAATTTTAATTAATAATTACAGTTCAAAATGGGTTAATATACTTGGTCAGGCCCTTTTCAAAATATGAGTACAAATCTTAGGGATATATTTTTTAAAGTTGGCTTTACTTTAGACTGATAAATCTACTGTCCAAAAGTCACGAGGACCGCTTTTACTAATTCATCCACTTAATTAAATCAACGTGGAAGCAATATGTACTTTTTGGATAAAGCTAAATGTTTTGGTAAAAATGGGACAAGCGTATCATCTTTCATTATGTTAGTATACAAGCTGGTAAACTCATATATCCCCAAAGCTTGGTTTCCACCAGGTGAGTCTAAAATTTAGACAATAAACAGAGATGAAGAAATATCCAATAAATTCTATCCATCCCTTCCCCAAAGTTTTATTTACAATTAAAATATAGGTATTATTTATGTGTAGAACATACAAAAAATTAGAAAATGTTTGGCTGGAGGGAAGACAACTCTTTAGGGACTATTGTTTGCAGTTTGCAGAATAGGATAATCTTCTCTAGGAAGAATAATGTCAACGTAGCAGCACTATATTCACCAGGAATTCCAGAGCCAATGGATCTATCATGTGGCAGGAAGCCAAATCTTCTGGCTGCTTACAACATCACTCAGCTTCCCTTTAATCTTCAGGAAGTGTCTCTTGAATTCTAATCCATCACCCTATATTAGGAATAATATCCAAAAACAATGTCAAAAAAAAAAGCCTATGCCATAAAACCAAACTCTCTAGTGATAAGTGGAGACAAATATCTACAGGTACAATTCCGTTCAGGTCCTCTTATGAAGACCAAATACCTTGGGAGAAGAAATGACTACATAAATAATTCTGACTTGATTTCGGGCTCATCACTGTTTCTGCCACACTGGGCTCAGAAAGCAGATACAATGGAATCTTGTCTAGACTTAAGTCATTATTTTCCATAGGTATTAGAGGTTTGTAAATTCAAAATAAACTATGCAATTATACTGAACCCTTGCCAAAATACTGTTGCAACAAAGACAATGTTTCATTTATAAGAAGGATTTTACTATACTAGGATCTTAATAATTTAATCCCATGCCAAGCATCTTGAAAACAGCACTGCGGTCAATCTCCAATATAAAGAATGTGGCCTCCTCCAACTTCTTTTAGAGCTATGTATTATCTCTCAAGAAAAAGAGAAGATGCTATTTTTGTCTGATATGTCAAGGGCTTTAAAACTATAACCTCAGAACCAATAATTTCTAAAGAAATAATCGGAAATGTGAATAAAACTATGTACATGAATTTTAATCACAGAATTACTTGTAACATGTAAAGTTTCATTAATTATAATGTGCAAACATTTTTGACAAATTGTAACTTTTATAAAAAAGATATATCTAAATTCAATAAGAAAAAGTTTAGAATGCTTCAAAATTATTATGGGTAATTATTTTAATGGTAAAAATAATTTAGGATCGTTTTTATTTTCTTATTTGTTACTTACATTTTCTATAAAAACTAATAACTTTTATAAGGAAATATCATTTGGAGAAACTATGTTTTAGAAGAATAATGACAAGAACAAATGTTCATAATATTAAATGAAAAAGCAAATTACCATATATTTATAAATGCCATATGCATAAAAATATGCCATTTTAAAATAATCTCCACATAAGAGTATCTCTATAGTATATACTATTAGTAATAGTAAGGTAATTATAATAAAATATATCAAAAATAAATCTGTGTTCTCTCTGGGTAAGATTAAACCTGATTCTTATTTTCTTCTTTATACCTTTTTGTATTTTTAAAATTTCTACAATGAACATATAATACTTCTTTAATAGCAAAACAAAGTTTTTTTTTTTTTAAAAAATGAGCTGTCCTACATACCTTAGAAAGCCGGAAATCAACCAAGATCTTCTCATCCATTTCTACTAAATTTACTTTAAAAATCAGTTTATTGTTTCTTCTATCAGTTGTTGATACAGTAACCTAAGGAAGTAAAAAAAAAGGTTAAGTCAGACGTATGGATAGAGAATACTCTAAACAAAAACTACAATTTCAGGTCAATGGTACTGCTGGGTATCACTTTGAGATGCCCTTCTATAAAAGTGGCAGCACCAACGGACAGGGATTTTCCTCTCCTCGTAGGTGTGTATGCCTGAACCAGACTAACTGCAACCAGGATGCAGCTCCATTAGCAGGGAACATGTCTATGTGAGTCTCAGCAACAAAATAAAGTAGTATTTTAACAAAAAATAATTGAAGAATAAAAATGTGAAGAGAATAAAAACAGAATGAGAGGAAAAACAAGATTATTAAAACATAAGAAAGAAAAAGAGGTCAGATTTGTGGCTGAAAACTATCGTAGTATCCGGAAGATGGCAAAGACCTGAGAGGCCTTGCAACTTTCACTTTTCAGTGTTTTATGACATTCCTATGATCTGTAAAGAGGCTCAGGCTAGATGAGCAACTTGCAAAGAAAGGGCCAGCCAATGGCCAGCACCAAGACCCCAAATGTGGATGAGGCCATCTTAGACCACCAGCCACAGTAAAGCCATGAAATGACAACAGCTGGATGAATAAACTCAAGCAAGATCTGCAGATTAGCCCAGCTAAGCCCAGCCCAAATTATAGAACATTTGTAATAATTCTCACTTCGAGGAATGACTATAAAAAATACATAGGTGTACCACAATTGCGTAACAGTGGAACACAATATATTCTTGGAAAATACAAGATACCCAACACGTATGAATTAGGCTATTACACTTCAAAGACAAAGAAAATTCTTCAAGGTTCAGGCAGAAAGAGTGAATCAGGGAGTGATGTCAGTTAAAATGGTGGAGTAAGGAACTCCACAGGAGCACTCATTCAAAACAGATGAAACTCAGTAAGAACAGAGTCTTCTTGCACTGTAACTTACTTTATTCTCATTTCCACTCCTCAGCTCCGTGGTAGCCTTAAAAATAATAGTCTGCATTTCGGACACAGGTACAAGTGTCAGCAGAACACTTTATTCACAAATCGTCTTAAGCTGATATGGCTTCCTGGAATACCCGCTCAGAACACTTGCCTCTATTTTGCCTGAGTAAACAGAACTTGTTGTGTGCCAAAGATGCCACCCTGGGGGCATCTGTCAAAAGTATTCACAGGCAAATCTTTAGCCTCTGCTTACTGAGGTAATGTGTAACAGTTGGGGCAAACAACAGATTACCCAAGAAGGTTAAAAGGAAATGCTGGGAAGTGGGATAAAGGCTATGAAAATCCCTTACATATTCCTGGTAATCTAAAAGGCCACGCTCATGCACAAGACAGTGTACATACTCAGGAAAGATCAGAGAAGGCCCTAAATTCTGCCTCTGGCTAGCCATGAGGCATTGCACAAGCAGTAAGTGAAGTCTAAGGCACAGTTGCAAACTCTGGCTGAGCACTGGCATGCTTGACACACTTACACGGCCCATCTGCAAAAATTAGGAAAAATTTTTTTAATATCAGGAATATTAAGAACTCTTTATCCAATTATTAGCTGACTACTAATCTAACAACAGAGATTTCACAGGCCACACATGACCACAACACACGTACAGACTATACAAAATTAGATCGGAAAAGTCACTAAACAATCAACAATTACATCAAGTATCAACAACAAACCCTGGGAAGGAGGGGAATCTGATTTTTGGAGTTGTCACATTATAATATTCGAAATGCCCAGTTTTCAACAAAAAAGGATAAAGCATACAGAGAAATAAGAAAATATAGCCCATACACAGGGAAAAAAGCCATCAAGAGAAACTATACCTAAGGAGCAGAAGGAAATGAAGAAAAAAGAACAAAGATTAAAAGACCTGCAGGACAACATCAAGTGTCTCAGAATATGCACAGTGTGAGTCCCAGATTATGCACAATGTGAGGCCCAGAGGGAGAGGAGAGAAAGGGGCAGAACAAATATTTGAAAAAACAATAGCCAAAAATTTCCCAAATTTGTTGAAAAACAATTTACATATCAGGAACCTAAATAAACTCAAAGTAGGATAAAATTAAAGAGAGCTACACCAAGATACATTATATTCAAACTTTTAAAAGACAATGACAAAGAGAGAACCTTGAAAACAGACAGGGAGAAGTGATACATCATGTACAAAGGATCCTCAATAATATTAACACCTGATTTCTCATCAAAAACCATGGAAGCAAGAAAGCAGTGAGATGACGTATTCAAAGTGCTGAAAGTAAAAAACTGTCAAGCAAGAATTCCATGTCCAGCAAACCTACCATCAAAAATGAAGAAAAAAATTGAGAGTCCCAGTTAAAATCTGAGAGAGTTTGAAACTACTAAAACTGCCCCAAAAGAAATGCTATAGGAAGTCCAACAGGCTGAAATAGAAGGACACTAGATAGAAACTCAAGTTTACATAAAGAAATAAAGAACACTGTTAAAGGTAACTTGCACAAGTAAATACAAAAAACAACAGTAATGGATTTTTTTTGGAACTTCTATTTTTTTTTCCTACCTGATCTAAAAGACAATTATATAGACTGGACATCAGAAGCATGGTGGAGAGATGTCCCCAGATCTCTCCCCTTGAAACAACGATAAGCTGAACATTTGAACTCAACAAAAAACACCCGACCTGCATACAAGCACATCTGAGCAAGGGATCTGCAAATAAGAGCTACCACAGGTCAGAACCGCAGAAGGGAGGTAAACTGTAAGAAACAAATAAGTTGCCTCTCCCAGCTGGAGCTCCCTGCAGGAGAATGGGGAGGGGAGAAGTTGCGGTGGGTTCCCTGACCAGCCCTGCCCGAGAGAGCTGTGAGCTTCATGCAGAGGCAGTGACCAGGGATTAGGGCAGAAAGCAGAGAAGTGGGTATGGTAGAAAATTAGGGATGGCAGGGAAACGACAGTTGATTATCACCAGTCTAAGCTGCTAAACGCAAAGTTGAACCGCAGCCCCGATCCCGAAACCAGACGACACCTACCCCCATATCTTCCAAGACCAAACACTGCTAAGGCCCAAGAGAGCCTGAGCAAACACTACTGAAACTGTTGCTAATACTGACAGGGACTGAGACTGAGGATAGCAAGCATGATTAAATATTTATAAGAAAAAAAAAGGCATTATTAATACTTTATATAAGGCAGGGATCCAAGAGGCTTAGATGCCACTTATTGGTAATCAAAAAAACAAAAACAAAAACAAAAACAAAAACCTTCTTAGCAACAGGCTTAAAGAGAGACCTTTATATAATAAATCTTTCTGGAAAAAAGGCAGAATGTACTTCCATTAATGCCCAGGCAGAGAAATAGTTCCATTAAACACCACGAACAACCAAGGTGACAAGCCAGCTCAGAAAGAAAGAGAAAAATCTCCAGAAAATAAGCTTAAAGACACAGAAATATGCGACTTAAGTGACAGAGAATTCGGGATGGTACTTTTGAAAAAACTGAATGAGATCCAAAATAATTCTTATCAATAATTCCAGGAATTGAAAAAACAACTAGATCAGTAGAATGAGTTTTTGGCAAGGAGACTGAAACCCTTAAGAAAATCCAACAGAACTTCTGGAGATGAAGAACACAGTAAAAGAGATGAAAATGAAAGCAAGCTTGGTAAACAGAGTTGACCAAATGGAGGAAAGAATCGGTGATATTGAAGGCAGAAACCGAAGAATGAAAAATAATGAAAGAGAAATACAAGAACTGTTGATACCATTAGAAAAGGAAACAAGAATAATGAGCATTCTCGAAGGGGAGGAAAAGGAATGGGGATTAGAAAGCATTTTCAGACAAACAGTTGATGAGAATTTCCTCAAATCAAAGGAATGAACTGGAACTTGGAATTCAAGAAGTCAACAGAACACCCAATTATCTTCACCCAAAAAGGCCTTCTCCAAGATATATTATATTAAAATCATCAAAAATCAATGACAAAGACAGAATTCTCAGGACAGCCAGGGAAAAGAAGACAGTAACCTATAAAGGAAAACCCATTAGATTATTGTCAGACTTCTCAGCACAAATGTTACAAGCCAGAAAGGAGTGGAATCAAATTTTCAAACTATTAAATGAAAGGAACTACCAGCCAAGAATAATGTATCCAGCAAAGTTCTCCTTTAGATATGAAGGAGAAATAAAGACCTTTCCAGACATACAAAAATTGAGGGGATTCTCCACTACGAGGTCTGCATTACAGGAAATACTGAAAGGAGTCAGCTCACCTGAAACAAAATGACAAAAAAAAAAATATAACTATGAGTAAGGCAACTAGCAGGCAGAGAGAAGCAGAGTGGTGCAACCTTTATTAAGAACAGGGCATTATGAACTTAAGCAATAAGAAAAAAATTGCTATTACAAGATAGTAATGAACATTCAGAATACATAAGGACAAACTGAGACAACAACAATAGAAAAGGGGAGGATTCAAAGATCTAAATTCACAAAGGGGAATAGAGATAAGGCACACACAGAAGAAAATGGACTACTATACATGTCATTATCCTCTATGTATACGTAATGGTAATCACACGCCAATGACGCAGAAATGAAGTATAAAACATAAAACACGAAGGACCAGAGGGAAAACCCAACCAAACTAAAAAACAGAAAAAAAGGGACAAGGAATCAATGGAAACACCAAGCTACCAGAAAGCAAAAGATAAAATGGCTATAGGAAAACCTCATATTTAAATAATCACCCTGAATGTTAATAAACTGAACTCACCAGGGAAAAGACACAGAGTTGCAGATTGGATCAAAAAACAAAATCCAACCATATGCTGCCTCCAGGAGACACATCTCAGTTCCAAAGACAAATACAGACTCAAAGTGAAAGAGTGGAAAATGATATTTCAAGAAAATGGCATTCAGAGAAAAGCAGGAGTAGCGGTACTAATATCAGATGAAATAGACTTCAAAATAAAAAGGTAAAGAAAGATACTGAGGGACATGTCATAATGATAAAGAGAATCATGCACCAAGAAGACAT